AAAAAATTATTTTACTTTTTTATTAAAATTAATGCTTACAATAAAAATGTATGATAAAAAAAATTACATACATACCAAAAAATGAAATATACAAAAATTGATACTAAAATAAAAATGAAATTATTTCATTGATGTGTTGCACATTGATTAAAATATAAAATTTCTTTAATCAATGTGCAACACATCAATGAAATAATTTTAATCTTGGACATACGTGTCAAAATTGAAGGTCTAATACTTTTCTTTATAAAAAGCCATTGACTATTTTATATGACATGAATATTTTCTCCATTAAATAATCGGACAAAATGATGTATTTGTGTCAATATCTGGTGGTCATATTATTGACCACAACATGGATACCTGTCCACTCGCTGCAACTAAGAGGTGTGACAAGAGTGAGCCCACCATTTGTCACAAAGACGGGGAGTAGTAACCAATTCGAGGGCTACGCCATAGATCTACTGAACGAGTTATCACGAGTCGTGCCATTCAACTACACTCTGTATCCCACTCCCGATGGCATGTATGGTAGACCCGACGAAAGTGGCAGATCATCCGGAATGGTACAGGAATTACTTTTGCGGGTCAGTACATGCACTGCCGGTGCTATGATATAATCAAATTAATTATACATATATTGAATACATTGGGCGACACAGAGGGCGGACTTCGCGATCACAGACTTGACGATAACCAGAATCCGCTCGCGATATATGGATTTCAGTGAACCCTTTATGAGGGGCAACTTGACGGCACTGATCCATAGGAGAAATGTGCGAAATATGACCACATTTGCCGATCTGGTCAACAACACCTTGGTTACCTATGGTTTACAGCGAGAAGGGGAGTCGTTTGGGTCGCAAGAGCGTGAGCCTATAGACCCCATCATCAGGTCTATGGGACAACATATAGCACAACACAATGGCAGTACTCTCGTCAAAGAGGAACAAGAGGGGGTCGATAGGGCTCTCAGTAGTAACTATGCGTTCATTCAGGCCGAGGCGGCCAATGAGTACCAAATGGGATCTAACTGTGATCTCACAGTCATTCACCACAAACAGGAGTACTATCCCATAGAGTATGCGATTGGACTGCAAAAGGGGTCGCCGTATAAGATGGACATCGATAGAGCCATAAGACAACTGAAAAATGATGGCACAGTCGACAGACTGAAGAGAAAGTACTGGCGAACAAAGTGTCTGAAAGACTCGGATGTGGTGTCAGGTGCCGTCAAATTAGGTGCCATTAGTTCACTGTGCCTTATACTGTCGGCTCTGATCTCATATGTTAACATAAATATCAATTGATATGAATTTTGTAACAAATAACTTACTTTAAAGACATGTTATATCATTAAGATTTTTTTATCTTATTTTATTATGATTTTATAAATTCAAATACATTTTTACTATTATAAACAGTGTTGTTTTTGGTCTACAGGTACAATATAATGTTAAAACTCTAAGTCTAATACTATACGTGTTTAACATAATAGACAATTTTACTCTCCATTAAAAACTATTTTATAATACTAGTATGTCATTGCTTACTTATATTATACAAGGCTGTATTTGTTTTATTTTTATTATCATAATCTCTATGACATACTGAGTACATTCATAATAATCCTTAGTTCTGGACATTTTTCATAACAAAAATGGACATGGTTGACAACATCAACATTACGTACGGTGCGCTCCGGGATGGGGACAGCTTTCGGTTCATGAACGGGCTTTTGGGCTATACCATCCTTAAAATGGTTAATAATATGGGTTACGGATATGGTTTGGGTGACTCTGTGGCCGGGGAGGTCGAGAAGGTTCTCAATACTAACTATGCGTTCATTGAAAGCTCGGCGTTCAATGAGTACGAAATGGACCGCAACTGTGAGCTCACAGTCATTGACTACAAACAGGAGTCCTATCCCATAGAGTATGTGATTGGACTGCAAAAGGGATCGCCGTATAAGACGGACATCGATAGAGCCGTAAGACAACTGAAAAATGATGACACAGTCGACAGACTGAAGAGAAAATACTGGCGAACAAAGTGTCTGAAAGACTCGGATGTGGTGTTAGTGAAGGCCATCACGTGTGCCATCACTGGCTGAGTCTCATGGCATCGATCCTTCACTCAAAAGTACTTTTCAATTAAAATACATTTTTATTTACTATTCATTTCAATACACATTTTTATCGGTATTGTATAACTTTACGCAAACAAAATGTATACAACATAGATAATAAAATATTTTATATAAGTTATGAGATTTTGTTTATAATTAGATAATTGCAAATCAATTAATAAACACGAGTAGACTTTCACTATTATATATAAACAATTTAATCTGTACGCGCTTAACACTGAAGGCCTACTAAAAATGTATTACTATCATATAAACGTAATCTTAACATCATTAATTATAAATGTCGCATAAATTACAACAAATATAACTTCCATACAACTATCACGCAAACACCAATGTATTTACGCCAATGCCTGGTGCTATTGACCACAATATGGACAGCCGTCCACTCGCTGCACCTCCGAGGTGTGGCTATCGTGAGCCCACCCTTCGTGACAAAGACCACATACGGCGAGTACGAGGGCTACGCCGTGGACCTGATGAACGAGTTGTCACGAGTGGTCCCATTTAAGTACACCCTGGCTCTCATTCCGGGTACGTGGCCCGCCTCGCTTCACAACGCCTTCCTTGTCAACGTGAAGACCTTATTCGGGGGCAGGGGACGACCAAGGGCAGACTTCGCCATTGGCTACTTCACCAAATCTCGAGATGTGGAGCCATATATGGATTTCAGCGAACCCTATATGACGGGCCACTTGACGGCACTCATCCATAAGAGGTATATCGGAAACATGACTTCCTTCGCAGATATGGTCAACAACACCGACGTTACATATGGTGGGGTCCGTGAGGGGGACACCCTTGAGTTAATGGGTGGGTCTAGGGACCCCACCATCCAGTCTATGGTCCAACACATGAATCGCAATAGTCTGGTCAACTCGGAAGAAGAGGGGGTCGATAGGGCTCTCAATACTAACTATGCGTTCATTGAGAACTCGGTGTCTAATGAGTACCAAACGGACCTCATCTGTGAGCTCACAGTCATTCACGACAAACAAGAGTACAATCGTCGAGAGTATGCGATTGCACTACAAAAGGGATCTCCGTATAAGATAGACATCGATAGAGCCATAAGACAATTGAAAAATGATGGCACAGTCGACAGACTGAAGAGGAAGTACTGGCGAGCAAAGTGTCTGAAAGACTCGGATGTGATGTCAGTTGCCGTCAAATTAGGTGCCATTAGTTCACTCTGTCTTATACTGTCGGCTCTCATCTCATGTGTTCATATAAATATCAATTGATATATATTTTGCAACAAATAAATGTTACTTTAAAAGCATGTCATATCATTAAGATTTATGTTTTTATCTTATTATATTATGATTTTATAAATTCAAATACATTTTTGCTATTATAAACAGTGTTGTTTTTGGTCCATTGGTGTAATGTTAGAACTCAATCTAATATTATACGTGTTTAACATGATAAATTATATAATAGACATTTATATTTTCCACTAAAAACTATTTTATAATACTAGCATGTCATTGCTTACTTATATTATACAAGGCTGTATTTGTTTTATTTTTATTATTATAATCTCTATGGCATACTGAGTACATTCATAATAATCCTTAGTTATGGACATCAGGTGCCCGTTATATACTGAATGTGCACTTAAGCACAACTTATGAATTGTTTGTGAAGTTATGTATGAATTTTAGTTTTCATATAATATTTCAAATGACCAATTCTGTATTATTCTGTATTTTCTACTTTCAAAAATTATATTAGAAATAAGACACCGAAATAACAATTTGTTTTAAATAATGCATTGTTTTTACAATGAATATACAAATATATTTTATGCCAGAGAATACTTAAGCAAGTAATAAATATTCATGTATTCAAATCAAGTGTTAAATTAAATTGGAGTTAAATTAAGTTTTTTGATAGTATGGCACATAATATGCAAAAGTGTATTGAATAATTTAGCAACATTTTTATTATAATGAATCAAAATCATGATAATATAATTGATTGACAAGAATATCAAAGTTGACAAATAATATAATATTGTATTACTGTTAAGTATATGGTATAGAAAATATTTTTACTTTTATAATCAAGGTCTTAATATTTTTGCGTTAATTTAATTTAATAAATTAGAAATAATTTAAAAATATAAATTATTTATAACCATGATTGTATAATATAAAACAAAAACTTATTCAAAAATTTTTAAAAACTATTTTTACTATAATAATATAAATGGAAATACACTTACCAGGGTATATATTCCACAGGCAAAGCTTCCACTTCGCAAAGTTTTCGCACCAAAACAACACGATTTGATTATTGCCATCATTTGTGGCCACAATTCACATCATATATAAAATATATGTCAACGAAAACACTGATCGGAGAAAAATCTTTCGCAAAACAATCTGGACGCACAGGTATTTCTGTAGACACTGGCGACAGGCGCTGTGCGTGCAGGCGATCATCGCCACCAACTCGTCGATGGGGTATATTATGCAACAGAGTTCGCACTCGTAGTCAGTGCGCGCCCACCCGAACGACTCGTCGTATAGTAGCCTATAGTGTCCGGGTATTTGTGGTCACAATTGGGGTCAAAAACTTTTTTGAAGCATTTTTCGATGTCTTATATTTTAATTGTCAATTGTTTTTAGTTTTCGTTTTATATAACTCATAATTATTTGCTTAGATGTAGGGTTGTTAAATTATAATAATTTATATTTTTCCCAAAATAAATTATATAAATTATATAAATTTCATATAATTTATGAAATATATATTTTATAATTGAAAATATACCAAATTTAGAATATAGTAAATGCATATAATTTATTTAATTTTAAGTAGATTTAATTAATTATAACCGTATAATTTAACTATTCAAACATTATAATGCTAACTTCAATTAATTTGTAAACTATTCATGTTATTAATACAAATATTTTAAATATGTAGCTTGATAATGTTATTTTTCAAAATATAATTTATATAATTTATTTTTTTTCAATATAATTTATGTATAAATTATATAATTTACATAATATAATTTATATAATTTATGCTGTTTTCAACCCTACTTAGATGTAATGTTTTGTTAGGTTAGGTTATGATATGCTATGCTATTGCTATGAGAGGTTAGGTTAGGTTAGGTAGATTATGTTACAATGATATTTACAACCAGATATCTCTAATAATTAATTTGTTTTTTGAATTTTTTTTGATTTTTTGATTTATCTATTTTTATTTATCAACTATTTCAGTAAATTAGTTAAGTTTTTATTAAATGCATTCTTTAATTTTAATTTAACTTCATAAAATAAACATTATATACCTATTTATGGGGGAATTCTTTGATTGTTTAATATTCGGCTGTAGATGTGTGTCAAGAATATTCTGGATATCACTAATCGTAGTCTTCGGATCACTGGATAAGTTCCCAATGGATTCCTCCATCTGCTCGATCTCCTCAAGACTTTGTCGCATACTATTGTCGATCTCTTTAAGCAATTTCTTCCTATCAATCGTTTGATTCTTGACATCAGAATCGATTTCTTTAATCACTTGCTTGTCATTAGACTCGTTGGCAATGTTTGCAGAATATTCTTGTTTTGACTGTTTATTTGATTTAACGGAATCACGTTTTTCAGCAGAATTTTGTTTCTTTAATTGTTTTCTACTCTTTTCGGCAGAATTTTCTGTTTTATTCACTAAATTATTATTATTCACAGAATTTTCCTTTGGTTTCACATATTGTGTCAATTCATGAGAATCCTCTTTTCCATTATTATTATCATTACTTTTGCTTAAAACTTGTTTACTTTTAACTCCATTTGTGTCTAATTGTGTAGATTCTTGCTTAGAAACTAGCTTGGATGATCCTGGTAGACTTTCACTTGTATTTTGTGTATCACTTATTATATCAGTTTTTTGTTCACATATTGATGATGTTGCTTTTACCACAGAATATTCTGTAGACTGTACAGACTCTGCACATTGGCTTGAAATTTGTTCAGGCATAGTTTTATTTGTTTTGACTGAAATCTCATTACTTTTATCGCTATTTTCATCCGATTTTGTTAATTGTGTTTGCGTTAAAATACTTGATTTTTGTAACACCGCTGATTTAGTAGTATTCTTACTATCTAACCTAGTACCACACTGGTCAGTTACAATTGCATCGCTTTTTATTTCGCTTGCATTACACAAAACAGAATATTCTGTGGTTTTAGTTGATTGTGTTATCTCACTAGAATTCTGTTCAATCGTATATTTATTGTCTTTATTCTCAACAATTTGTTTAGTTATGTCACGGCTTTGATCCACTTTTAGAGAATATTGCTGTAGTTTACTTTGAAACCTTGATAATTTTGTTTCACTTTTATCGATAGATTCTTGAATACTTTGCTGAGCTAATGGCTTAATATTAGAGGAATTCTCACTATTATTCTTATTATTATCACTTTTACCGACAGAAATCTGTGTAATACTCTGTGTATTATTATCAGTCGACTCAGAATATTCCTGTAATTGATTTTCATTTTGTAATAATATATCGGTTTTAACGTCAATTGATTGAACAGTATTTTCAACACATTTCTCTACACTTTCAGCCTCTGAGGCCTTCATATAAATGGGATTTTCTTGAATACAATTCTGGCTTTCAATGGGAATATTCTCAAACATATTCCGCGATTCTGTGCTCCGATTGCCGTAATTTTGGTCTAATTTTTGCTGAATTCTGGCGTCGATTCTGTCGAACTCGTCGTCGCTCTCGTCACTCAGTCTCTCGTAATCGCTATAATACTCATTCAACTCCCTGTCCACCACCTCGAACTCCCTGCCCTCCAGGCTCTCTACAATCTCATCGCTCATGCACTCCCTATCGGCACCGGTATCTGACGACTGACCAGCGCTCGACTTACGGCTGAGATTAATGGGAAGCACTTCGACGCCAACCAATTGTAGCTCATTGTCGGTGACGTCTATAAACTGCCCGTCCGTTGCCTCTAACGTGTCTATAGTATCCAGTGGTAGGTCTTCCCCATCAGCACCCGTACTGACACTACTGTCCTCTAAGTCGCTGTCGAATTCGGTCAGCCGTTTCTGGAGTTCCAGTATTTTTCGCATTTTCTCCCTTTCCCTCTCCTGCTGTCTGAGTCGATCGGACAGTTGTTTTTCGGCCTTCCATTCCCTCAGCAACTGTTCCATCTGTTTCTGGTCAGCAGCGCCTGTAGTACTGGAACTGGCGATCGGCTCCGGGTCTACAATATCTGTATTCATAGCGTTTTCTTCGACTATCACTGGCTTTTCGATGTAATCATTGAGTTTTGTTTCGGAATTATCTGCAAATGTGTATAAAATTCATTTTTAATTCACTCATAACTATCACATTTTTAGTAAAGAAAGTGTACAGAATATTCTTAGCAAATAATTGTAGCGTTATAGACTACAACTTATAGTTGTAGTTTGTCTACAGTAGCAATCATGTAAATTATTACAAATAAAATATTATTGTTTAACTTTGCATTTTCTAAACTTTGTTAAATTTACAAATTTATAAGTTATATATTTATAAGTTTGGTATTTAAGTTTAATATCACAAATATCTGCAATGCAAAAAATGCATATAAATAAATATACTACAATTAAGCTAGCATTAAATGATACCCTGATTATCAAACAAAAGTTTTCCAAAACTACAAAATTATTCTAGTTGTAAAAACAAAAACTTATAAACAAAATAAAATTAAAAATACAAACATTTAAATGTTTTTTACTAAACCCATATTTGATAACCAGGCTCATAATTGTTAAGACTAAGAATTAATATCACTTTTTTGAAGCATAACTAACTTATTTGATCCAAACTTTGGCCAATCAATGGTTCATTCGAGTCATTATTCTCTTTACCCGAACCCATACCCGATATCTCCAGGGATAGGGATGTCTTTGGGTTGTCGGCTACGCCAGTGGTACCGGTATTGTTGGCCACCGTCTGTTTGGGCAGTTGTTTGGATTTGACACACTTTTCGATGGATTGCCATATGTTGCCTCTCGTGCCCCTCAGGGCTACCCGCGCCTCCTCTTCCGACAATAGGTTCCAATCGGCGGGCCTTTTGTTACCCGATTTGGTCTCGTTTTGCACGATCTGGTTGTTGGTCAGAGTCATCACCGTTTCGCACATATTATGCCAGTTCTCGTCCAACCATTCTGTAGGGAACAGTAGCTATGCATTAGGTTTACCCAACTTTTAACTAAACATAAGTCGGGTTTTATATTTTGTTATTACGAAATCATCACCGTTTCGCACATATTATGCCAGTTCTCGTCCAACCATTCTGTAGGGAACAGTAGCTATGCATTAGGTTTACCCAACTTTTAACTAAACATAAGTCGGGTTTTATATTTTGTTATTACGAATTTTGTTAACATGAAAATTTTGATACAGAATATTCTGTTTTATTATATATTATGATTTATTGTATGTATATAAAACACAGAATATTCTGCATGCAAACTAAATTGTCACTAAATTCCTGTTTATTTTACATACCAAGCGGTTTGTCTGGACTGAAATTGATGGCCACCTCGACGTCATCGGCGGTGTAGCCCTTCCTATCGGCATCTCTGAGCAGTTGTATTAACTGTAATCCCGACTCCATCTGAGTCTTGTGTCCACTCCTGTCCCCAACCGTCGTATTACTACTAATAGACTGCAAGTTCTCGCAACTTGAATACCGGGATGACATTTGCGGTAACAGTGGATTGATATACGAGTTATGATCACTACCGGCAATACTACCGGCGCTGCTGCCTATGGGGTAACCAAACCGGTCGAGACTCGTTTGGGAGCCGTTCATAAATGCGTACATATTGTGGAGTGGGTTCGCGGCATACATTTGAGACATTGGATTCACCATTGGATTCAACATTGGGTTCATCATTGGATTCATGTGTTGTTGCATTGGATTCTGGGATAACATAGAATTCTGTGTCGGGTATCCGTATCCACTGGTGTTGTATTGCGGTGGATATGAGGGCCGGCGCTCAGTGAATGGGTGTCCGAATTGCTGGACACTGGTAGGTGTGGGCTGTTGTTGAGGTTGTGTTATGTGTTGCGGTATTTGATTGAATGCTGAAAATTCACTTTGTATTACAGTATTTGTTTGGTTAGTATTTAAATTATTATTTGAATTATAAATGCCGCTATTATTAACATTATTAACATTATTGCTAGTATTATTAACAGCTTGTAAATGTTTATCAATAATTATATTATTATTATTTAAATTCTGTTCACTATTTTGAATATTCTGAACATTACTTTGGATATTCTGTATACTATTTGCCACGTTTTGAGTACTAATTTCATTCAAAGTATTAGATACAAATTCTGTACTGTTTTGTGTAATCAATTTATTATTATTATCACTATTATTACTAACAATATTATTATTATCATTAGGAATATTCTGTGATTCTACAGAATTATTTCTCGATAAACACTTTTTCACGTTTGAATTACTAATCAAATCGTTATTAATAGACTTATTATTACTATTATTATTGCTTTTACTGCTATTAATACTATTATTACGGATATCATTGTCCGTATCGGACAGTTGGTCAGCCCTGATCTGGTCGGCCAACTCGCGGCTCACGGGAAGTCCTAAACTCTTACGTCTGGTGTACTCCTCGCGTCTGGAGATCTTCTCATTCTCGCGGTCGACACGTCTCTCGTTCTCCAGGCGTCGGATCAGCTCTTTCTCGATCGCCATTTGTTCCCTAATTATCTTATCATCGAATCCGCAATCAGTGCCGCCATTATCACCAGCTTTGGTCTCGTTTTGTGACAATTTTCGCCGACTATTATCATTATTTTTGACTGGTTTTTGACGAGTGACTGACTTTTTCGTGAAAGTCTTACGAGTTTTGCTACATATCTCGCAAATGGTATTCTTATTGTCGTTAATATATGTACAGAATCTGCAGGAAATGTATAATAAATTATTCAAAAATTAATTAATCACTCGTTTTGTTTTGTTAAACTGTATGACAAATAGTTTTCAAATGAGTCAAACTAGGTCTACAGATTANAGTTTTCAAATGAGTCAAACTAGGTCTACAGATTAAATAAATAATATGCAACAACTGATAATTAATTATAGTTTTACTATTATTTACCAGGCTATAATTAACTTAGACTTAAACTAAAACTTAAACTCAAATCAATCGCTATTCAATCTCAAGTAAGTAAATTAACTAGTACTGTATACTTATGCCAATAAAACGAATCTAGCTATAATTCAGCACATTGCTATAAAGTTTATAGTTTACAGTAAATAACCAAGCTGATAAAGTAATTGACAAATAAACAATTCAGTACTGACCGACACGACCACTTGCCGGGTGGGCCGGTGTTAGCCCTGTCGGGACTGTCATCTCCATCATCACCGGTACTCTCATTATCGCTAACCGAATAGAAGTCCTCTCTGTCCTCCTCGTCGTCGAAATCGCTCTGTTGTCGAGACGACGAGGTAGTGGCCGATCGGCCCCCGGAGTCAGACAACTGTCCGCCCCCTCCACTACCACTGCCGGCGCTAAACGCACCGCCAGATCCGCCCGACCCGTGACCAGTAGTCTTAGTCGTCGCCCGATTCTGGGCCTTAGCCTTGGCTTTAGAGGACATCCTATCGCGCGATCGACGGGAACTGGCGGTCGACAGGTTGTCGGCGCTCGAGGGCCGGCTGCCTAAGTTGAACGACTTTGACCGGTGAGCGGGGGCGCCGGGGGTTGACATCCCGGTGGGCAGTGGCGACGCCGGGCACGGACTACAGGCGTACGGATAGCACGGGTATGGATAACACATGGGCTGCGGTAGGGGTGAACACTGACCACTGGCCGCGGACAGGGATGTGTGCATTTGGACGGCCGATTGACAGCGTTTCATATTAGCCATGTTATGCCTATCGTAACCCATTTGGCTACCGGGGCCACTGGCGCTGGCGTCCGAGTCGTAATCGTAGCGCATATCGTCTATGGAGTTGTTTAGGGAACTGGTAGTCCACGGATGATAGCCCCCGCAGTGGCCCGGCTGGTGAAAGTGGTGGTGGTGTTGTGCGCAGGGATAGGCCATCGGTGGGTACGCCATGTGCGGGATGTCGTCAACGGATCGGTGGACGTGTAGGTTATGTAGCGAACAGTTCTGCCGGTTGTCGAGTGTGTTGGCCACTCGTATGCCTTCCGGACGTCCGGCTAACCGGGGCTGACCCGAGAGGTCGCCTATACTGGTTGACACGCGATTCAGTGAGGCTGACCTACCGGTTCCCCTGTCCACGGGCAGGGAGTTTTTGCGTTGGTTTTGGTATACCTGTTCGAAATATTCAATTAAAAAATATTAATACACTGAACATAATAAAGTGCACCATACATGTGCAAAAAATATTGTCCAGATTATAAAATGAATATTCTGTCACCATATTATATTCATTATTAATAGACTAGCAAGGTACTTTGTATTTTATAATACAGTACTAGAATAATTTAAATAACTTAAGATCCGCGTGAAAAATAATTTCTAGTAATACTTAAATTTTTTTTACTGATAAAATATATTTTTAAAAAGTTAAGAATATTCTGCGCTTAATGTTTAGATATTTAATAATAAGTAAAGAATTTATATGCAATTTATATGTAAAAGTGTTTATAATTAAATAACTATTTTATGACACTTACCGGTTGTAGCTGTTGCATGGGTTGAGGCCTGGGAGGGGGCGGCGGTGCTGGTAGTGGTTCCGACAACTTTCTACTAGAAAAGGCGTACGTATGGGACTGACCTCCCTGTCCTGTCAGCTGTCTGACTATCA